TTGCAGATAATTAAAAATATATAGGGCGTCTCAAATAAAAAATCAGTTTTTTCTGTTAATAACTCTTAAATTATTAATTAAAAAAAATATACTTAAAGCATTACGTAAAAAGGTACTTAGGAAATGTTTTCATAAAAATACAAAAGTTTCCCTAGCAAAAAAGTTATAGCTATAGATTTGTTAAAAATGCACATTTTTGAAAAAAAAACGTAACTTCGAAACGGTAACAGGTATCGATATGTGGTTTTCACTATCACATTGTTGATAAAAATTGAGCTCCAGAGACTGCCATTATAGTTTTCGTCTATCTTCTATAGAAAAGAGTGTTTCACTTTAAAAGCTTCCAATTTGACCACCCAGTATATAATAAAGATTGGTTAAGATTAAGGGAGTATTAATTTCATGGTATTATTAAATAAAAAACGAAAAAATATTATGAACAAAAAATCACTGTTTCGTTAAACTTGGTATTATCCTCAAACCAATATTACTTTAAAAAACAAACCAATATTACCTGTGATATATTATGTGAGTACGTCTCAGGGTTTGAGCCCCCCCAAGAGTCCGTCTCTAGTTGCGCCCCTGGTGCACCCCAAAGTATTAAAATGCGCGCCGTAGCTGTGGCCAAATTAAATTTAATAATAAATAACACAAAATTATATTTTATTAATTATGACGATCATAAAAAATAAAAGTTTAGAATAACGCATAACTAATAACAATGTTATAGCTGATAGGTGCTTAGATAGGTACATTAACAAAAATGACCAATAATAAGTAGATATAATTATTATTAAAGCGGTGACTAACCTTTGCCTTTACTTTGCCTAGCCCCGGCAACGATCGCAGTGTAGCGAACGCAAACAATGGGATCTCAGGTTAATAAAATACCTTCCTAACCGGCCATGGTAACTCTTCCATCACTTTTCAACCGTCTGAATGCGACAAAGACAATCGAACGAAACCGAGTGGTCGTAGAATACCTGAATAAGCCAACCCATTAAGTCCGAGCGTCCACTTTTTCATTTACCTGACTGTTTGAAAATGTGTACGTAGTAACGTGAGTGTGAACCTAACCTTAAAATTTTTGTTTGGGTGTAGTTTGTTTGTATGCGTTTTGGGCGTCGAATTTTTGTTTATTTTTACATAGTTTTCTAAGTTATCTGTGATAAAAGATGGCAGTTAAACAGAGCTATTCACAAAGGGACTATTATAGGAATAAAATATACGATCCTAGGACTAAGGCCGTGCTGGGAAGATCTCCTAAAAACTGGGGTGAGTTGCAATTTTTGGCGAATTTTGGTGATTTTAACGCCAGACTAGGAAAGATACATATTATTACTTAAATTAAATTTATTTTAAAATTTAAGGCAGTTCTTTTTTAAAACTACTTATTTAAAATTCATTAGGTATGTTATCAAAGTTACCATATTAGAAAAAACAAAATTCACTAACAACAATTTATTTTTATTTTTAAAAGAAAGTTTTCAAAAAGTAACTGGTGGTTTTATGGCTTTCTAAATAGAATATTGATTAGTCTAGCTATAAAGTAACTAAAATAAAAACATAAAGAAGTTACTAGCCCATAACTCAGCTTTATAATGCTGACTAAATACGTGATGTATTTCCATAAATACCTTTTGTTATCATTAGAATTAAGTAAGAATTATCTGTGATAAATGTAACGAGAATTACTATTGTAATTTTTTCAATGAATTGAATACATATATTATACGTACCTATACCGTATTTTAAAGTCAATTGAGTTTAAATATTATTTAAAACTATTTATTTAAATATTTAGTACACATAATATGATAATTTAGCGTTTCTATTTGAAAAAATATTGGTATTTAAAGATAATTATACCTACACTGACCGGCACGAAAAACGGATACCTCAAAATTTTCATGTATTTTATAGTCGAATATATAACATAAGATCGAAAAAAAAACGGCGTCAAAGATGGCTAGGGAATGACAATCGATGGTAATTTTGGCGAGGTCAAGCTCTAGATATCATTTATTTGCCCCGTATTCTTATTTATTTGTTAATGGCGCTTACTGCCAGTTGGTTTTAGGAAGGTTGGAAGTTGCAATTTATTTTTATATTGAATAAAAATAATTTTAAAATGATATAGTTTAAAATTCGAGAAAAAAAAATTGTGAGGGGAATTTGGAAATAAATTTGTGTGTCTAAAACGTTCTATCCTTTGTTAATCTCTCTATAATTAGTGTTAGTTTTTGACAAATTTCATGTCAAGTTTTAGTAAGCGACTCGAATTAATTATAATCGCCAAAATTATAATCGAAACTTTTGACGACGTTTGTTTTTCATATAATATACCGTATTATGTTTTAATGGCACGATTTTGATGATTTTTTAGGCACCATGTAGCTAAATTATTTGACATTTTAGTCCTTTAAATTAAAAATTAAATTTCTCATCTGTCTATTATAGGTATACCTACGAGGAAAAACAAAATGCCATTATTTCTTATTTTAATCATGGATTTAAATAAAAAAGATCAAATTATAACAAATCGAAAAATAACTGAAAAAGTTATAAAAACTTTTTCTATAAAGCTATACAAATTGTACCTATGACAAAAACAACAAAAATATACCATAGGATATAGATCTCTTCGCCAAAGAAAAAGTTACACTTGCTGTTGTAACGTGTAAATACTTTTACTAAATTGTAAAAGATATAACACATACCGGATGCATCTCATTGGCTCACCCCCTATACTTTTTTATTTTTTTTCAGATAAAAAAAACGAGATTTGGTATGTTAGTATATGACATAAATTAGGATTGATTGAAGTATTCAATTGTTTTCGGTCACTTCCTGTTTCGCCGGTAATGACTACAACATTTGATTTTTAAATGGCACCCTCGTTATTTTTTACTTTGTTCGATAGAAAATGAAACTCTGAATAGAATGACATATCATATATCAACCTTTGACATTTTCGCATATGGTTTATTTGAAATTATAACTTGCGGTTCGTAACGAAAATTTGACTCGAAATACCAAGTGTGTGCTATCAAATTATTCGTAAAAAAATGCTTTTTTCAAATATGCTAATGAGTCACCCTCGTTCCATTTGAAAAAAATGAGTTATGATTAAAAATACGATTTGAGCATTTTCTAACTGGCCAGGACAATACACTAAAAATATTAGACGATCCAATCTATTTTTACATGGTTCCTTGATTGAGAATTAGTGTTTTTAACATAGCCCTGGCACTATAGATTGAAATTTAAAATAATTTTTTTTTATTAACCGAGAATGTCAAGTTGATATATGATCGGTATGTCATTCTATTAAGAATCTAATTTTCTACCGAATAAAGCAAAAAAATACCCAGGGTGACATTTAAAAATCAAAAGTTGTAGTCATTTCCGGTAAAACAGGAAGTGGCCGAAAACAATTGAATACTTCAATCAATCCTAATTTATGTCGTATACTAACATACCAAATCTCGTTTTTTTATCTGAAAAAATAAAAAAGTTATAGGGGGTGTGCCACTTTTGAGACGCACCCGGTATACCTACTTAATATGTATCCATCTATTTAAATATTGGACCGATTTTATAATTAATTTCCTGTAAATTCATTAGACTTCTAAACGGCAGAGATTTATCTTAAAATCGTGAAGTGACAGAAATCTGGTACACGAATTCGGAAACTCTAGTGCAGAACTAGTTTCTCCTGATGTTAGGTTATATTTTTATTACAGAGTATCGTATCTATGATCAATGTCAAAAAATATGCTGGGGTCAAGGCTGTTTTATATCTTTTTTGAAACAGCTGTATGTTGATCAAGCTAACTGCTGTCTTCTCCAATTTATCTTTTAGTTACTTTCCAAATTTCTACCACATCCGCATACTTTCTACTGACATTTTATTCTGCAATAAGTACTGTGCATTTTATTAGATGGTACTAATTTTATTCTCGATTCAAGACAGTCTTGACCATTTCCAAACAAAATCTTTGATCTAAGCGGGCGACTTTTTAGCGGAAATAGAGGCATTGACAAAGTTTACGAACTGGAAAAACGACATGCACTTTAGAAATATCGATATCGGGCAGTGTTACGAAGATTTAGCTATTTAGGATAGAACTTTAACTGGAAATAAGTCGTTAATTAGCTGGAAATCCGATTTAAATAGAAAATTGATTAATGTGAAAAAAATCCGATTAAAATAATCGATTTTTTATATATTCTTTTGTAAAAACCTTGATTTTTTTGCACTCTGGTTATTGTTTTTGTAATTTTACTATCATTTGAAAAGAAATTTTGAAAATAATTATTACTAATTAATTGAAACCAAATCAACGAAGCGGTACAATACCGATGAAGATCACAGTTAACCCCCAACCGTAATCTTGATTTGTTTTATGACTTCATACTTAGTCTCATCATCTGCTGACAGTGCGAACATGGTTAACAAAACGCGCGGCCAGTGTTAAAAGTAAAGTATTTTGGTGTATTGTGATGAATTAGTGTTTTATTAAACCAATCACACAAGGCTAACAATAAATTATGGAACCAGAGGAATAATTTGCATAAGCAACTACGAGGAATAGCACTTGTTCATATATTATCTCTGCATTATTTATTTTTACACTTTCACTAACAACTAATTATTATCAGCAATAACCTTTATTAAAAATATGTTGAACAGCATCAGTTTTATCTCCTCTGCCATACAATTGAGCCATATTGCCCTTTGAATCTAGATATAATTAGTTTGCTCTTCTAGTTCGTCCAACATATTATTGATCATAATATTATGGATAATTAATAAAATCAAAATCTTAAGCAATTAGACAACCCTTACTTATTACTACAACCCAATGATAATTATTTATCTGTTCAATTAAATGCTCATCACTCTTACATTATCATCGGATTTTAAAACTTTTTTATCGCACTGTATACTCATGAAATATTATTTGCGTTTAGCCAATATTATATTATTGTTACAGCCAAAATCGGATTATTCTATCTGATATTCTATGGAATGCTTGCTGCCATGGTCGCCATTTGCATGTGGGTGTTCTTCCAGACGCTGAATCCCAGGATACCAAAATGGCAGCTTGAAAGATCGATTATCGGTACCAATCCAGGTTTAGGATTCAGGCCGCTGCCACGGAACAGTACCGAAAGTGCCCTTATTTGGTTTCAAGGTTCCAACAAGAAGAACTACCAACCCTGGGTGGATAGTTTGTTAGAATTTTTAGATGGTAAGTGTTTTGGTAAATATTGTCATTGAAATACCAAAAAGTTTGAAGCGAAAGGCTGTTGAGATTTCAATTTTTCGTCTACTATATTCCAATTTCCAAAAATATGCAAGGACATCCAAAAAATAGGATTTTTTTAATACTTTAGAGGAAAATTAAAAAAAATACATTTTTTGTGTTTGCTCTAGAATTACATAAAACAGAGCAGGTCTAACAAGAGCAAGTCTTAATATAATTTTTTTTTTATTGTAATACCGTATCATCGAAAAAAACGGGGTCGAGCTGGCTTAGAAATATCCATATAATTTTACGTATAAAATGAAAGCGATCTTCATTTCATAGCCATCGCTGATGCCGTTTTTTTTTTTATCATACTCTACCATGCTCTATACAGAACGTAAGCGACATCGCACATGTACAAGGTGTTCCACTAAGAATAACTCGGCTGTATCTCGTAAAGCCGTAGAGGCCATGAAAAATTTCTGGAAATTATTTTCAACCTTGTAGAATGGCTGCTAGAGGGTGCAACTACTATGACAAATAAGAAAATGGAATTTTTACAAAATTCTATTAGTGTTTAGATAAAGTGTATGTACTATAAATAATTGCGTCATAATTTTAAGCAAATTTCCGAGTTTTTTTTGAGCAATTTTTCCTTATCTGTTTGATGATCTCTTTTTATTTAAATGTTAATACCTCCGGACTGAAAAATCCTCCTCATTTAAAAGAGCGTTCCTTACTCTATACTTAGTATACCATATAAACAATAATAGAAGTAGAAGACACCAAAGACATTCTAATAAATAACAGAAAACTGGAAATAGTAGAAAAATACATATATTACAACTATAATACATAGTTCGGGATCTTTACTACCAACTACCTAACTACTAAGTTAGCATGGAGTACTTATGGAAATCAAATTCAAATCTAGAATGCTACTTTATCTAAAGAAGAAAACATTCGACCAATGTGTACTACCAGTCATGACCTATGCATGCGAAACCTGGATACACAAAATATGCGGGAATAACAAGAAATACCGTTAAAGAATAGAGCGGATACGACAAAAGACCCAGGTAATAGATTTCATCCACAGAATCAAATCCCTCAAGTGGCAATGGGCAGGACACCTGGCAAGAAGGACGGACAACAGATAGACTACAAAAATTCCAGTATGTTACCCACGAGGAATTAAGAGACCTAGAAGAAGATCAAACTTGAGATGGGACCATGGTGTTAAGAAAGTAGCAGGGCCGAATAATTTGGGCCCACATAGCCAACAATAGACAAGGAGCCCAACTATAGAGTATCTAAATATGTGAGGGAGGCTACACTATAATTGGAAATGGTTGAATAAGCTGATAATGATGGTGATGATGATGATAAACAATAATAATAATAAGCATTTAACAGTAGACGCTGTCTTCCAATTTAACAAACATGACGCGTTTTTTTCAAAAAAGAAATTAAATGTAATAGTATATCTAATTTTAGCTAATAGTAAAGAGGAATAAGAGCTTAAACGGTCAGCGAAATCACCTTGATATCTTTTTTCAAACCGAAGATATATTAGCAAAAATATAACAAATACGAAAAATAAGTCCTTAACTGCCTTATTTTTATAACACGGGATCAGCAGCTCTCTTGATTATGTCCATTCTAATAAAATAGAAATTAGTAATTTATTATAATATAGTAGTATATATGTAGTATACCAGAATACCATAATATCAAAAATATTAATATCTAATAATTAAGATGCCAATGACATTGAAGAAGAAACGACGTCGACGCGACGCCGACGCCTCAGTGAAGTCATGGTAGACTTTGGGAAAAAGTTCGTTTTAAAGTAATAGCTTAAACGTCAAAGTGTTATTAGATCAACATTTTGATAGTCGTAGCAGTGTTTTTTATATATTCGAGAAAAGTTTATCTTTATCAATGACTATTAAAAAATATGTAACTGTTCCATATCTACATGTATCTATAATATTTAGACTATACTCGAAATATCAAATTTAAATTACTTTAATCAAGGATATTAATAGAACTTGTCACTAGAACATTTAAACAGACATAATTCAAGTATTTTGATTGTTATAATATTTCTAGGAAATTAATGATTGTAATTTCGCCGATATGTTTATCGCCTTATATTTAAACATTTCCAAACAAACATTAAGTTTCAAATAACAAGATAAATTTTGATATCTATATAAGTTGTAGGAATCACAGGCGTTTATTTGTTTGAAATTGGTGAAATACCTACCTATTGAACCTTGCTTTTGACAGTGATGTGTTAAGTAAACTAATATTCAAGTGATTTTCCAAATTCATATCTTATATCGCTTTTTTTATCTAAATATTGATATAAATTTATTATTTGCATTATACAGGGTGGTCCGAACTCTATTCCGGCAACTTTGGCAGCATATTCTGCAGATAAAAATAAATAAAAAAGTTCGTATAAATGTCCTAAAATGCTTAGTTTCAGAGATACAGGGTGTAGAAGTTTCAGTTTTATTTCGATTTCTTCCAAGTAATTTCTGAAGTAACGTCAATATTTTTATGAGAATTGGTGTCTGATGGGAGTTTTTTAACATGAGAAATTTGATTTTGATGTCAATATGACTCCTATTTGTAGGGAGCGCCACCTATAACCATGTGTTTCAACTGTTTTGAAGCGTAATAATTTTTTGTCCGTACCTGTATAAAACTACCGAGGGAATAATATACATCTCTGTAACTTTTTACGTCAAAAATATCTTTTCGTAAAAATCACAACGAGCAACCGTTTTAAAGAGATATTTAGAATGGAAATATACATACGTTATATACATACAATATAAGTCATTATTGATGAACAACGTTGAAAAGATATAGTTATTTCACTGAAATAATAAATTTGGGAATTTTTTATTTTTTTTAAACTAATCATAAATTTTTCTGCAAAAAAATAAGAAAAAAATAGTTTCTATTGAATTTTTTGGCACAAAAATATTTCAAATTTATGATTTCACTCTAATAACTATTTAGTCAACATGTTTAATTTATGTCAATAATGACAGGGATTGATAATTTCGATTCCAAATATCTCGAGAACCATTACTCGTAGCGATTTTTACCAAGACACATTTTTTTACGTAAAAAACGTCGTAAATGTATATTTTTTTACTCAGTAGTTTTATACAGGTACGGACGAAAAGTTATTAAGCTTCAAACTAGCTAAAAAATATGTAGGTGGTGCCCTCTACTAGTAGTTATATTGACATCAAAATCAAATTTCTCATATTCAAAAAACCCCCAGACACCAATTTTTGTCCAAATATTGACGATACTTCAGAAATTATTTGGAAAAAATCGAAATATAAATGAAATTTCTACACCCTGTATCTCCGAAACTAAGCATTTTACGACATACATTTATACGAACTTTTTACTGCAGAATATGCTGCCAAAGTTTCCGGAATATAGTTCGGACCACCCTGTATACTTAATTTTAAACTAAAGGTGTTAAAAACTAAAGGTTAAAAAAATGAAAGGACAGTAGATGGTATCTTCTCTACAGATGCCTCAGTAATGTTTTCATTTTTATTAGATTGGATTAAAATAGCCTCGTTTATTTTTTATTTAGATCCTATGGTTTCATTCATTATAATTTTTGCATTGTTAAAATCACTCTATTCTGTGCCCTGTGTCCCACGAATGCTGACAAATCTCTCATTTGCAAAATTGGCCTTTTTTAAATAATCTTTATATTCTTTAATTCAGACATTTAACAGTCTAGATGTTCCACCAATATAAAATTTATCACATTCACAATCTTCGTTCACATTTCACTCCCAAGTATACTCGCTTTTTTTCAATCATATATGGTTTACATTTAGCATATTTAACAATATCAAAACTTTGTTAATTATTTTATCTTTACTTTTTTTAGGTTATTATTTTCCAAGTAAAATTGCCAAAGGTAGTGGGCAAATCAAAACGTGCTCATATTCTGACTTCCCTAACGAAGATGAAGTCTGTGAAGTAGATGTGAGAGAGTGGGGAAGATGTAACAAAGACGAATTCTTCGACTATCACAGGTAGAATTTCTCCGTTTCTCAAATTAATGATTGTTAATTAATATTATAGAGGTCCGTAAGTTATCTTTTAGTCAATTAACTGGGTGACAATTTGAAAACGAACAGTATTTAATATTACCTCTACCGATGATAGTATGAAAATTTGGCGAAATACGTCAATTTACATATCAAGGGGGACTATTTTTGAGGCATTTGTTGTCGTGTTACTTTCAACCCTTTGACCTCACCCCTAAAATTTTAAATGGCAACTCCGATTTCTTTTACCATTTTTGTGTTCCTTATGAAATTCTCAAAAAATAATGCAGGTTATGTAGAATTCTATAAGAAACACAAAAATGGTAAAAGAAATAGGGGTTGCTATTTAAAATTTTAGGGGTAGGTGCCCTGGGGGTCAAGGGATTGAAAGTAACACGACAACAAACGCCTCAAAAATTGTCTCCCTTGATATATAAATTGACGTGTTTCTCGCCGAATTTTCATACTATCATCGGTAGAGGCAATATTAAATACTGTTCGTTTTCAAATTGTCACCCTGTATATGCATTGGAAAAAGTTAAATCCCAAATATAAAATAGTTCATTTCATTTTATATATTTCGTTCCTTTAAGACGAAAAATACTAAAACAATTTTAATTTGGTCATAATTTTTTTTTAGTGTTATATCGCCCTTATGCACTTTCAACTCACTACTATATTTCACTTAATTTATAGGAGTTCACCATGTATATTCCTCAAGCTGAACAGAATATACGGATGGAAACCAGATTATTATTTATATGACCACGAGCTTCCTCCAGAAATGCCAAAACAACTTAAAGATCATATCAGGAGTATCAACAATACACAGGATGTAAGTACCAAGTCTTCGTTTATATTCCTTTAATAGGATAACGCAACAACAGCTTTAAGCAGAGGAAAGACAGGCACCATTTATATGACATACCGCATGGCGAAAAAAAGGCGTCTAGTTGGCTAGGAAATGACGATCGATGACATTTCCCATATAAATTTACATATAAAATGATAGCGACCTTCATTTCATAGCTATTATTGCTGACGCCGTTTTTTTTTTTCATCATATTGTATACCGGATGCGTTTGAAAAGTGACTCAGCCCTATAGCTTTTTCATTTTTTCACATAAAAAAAAACGAGATTTGATATCTTAGTATATGACATAAATTAGGATTGATTGACGTATTCAATTGCTTTCGGTCACTTTCTGTTTCACCGGAAATGACTACAACTTTTGATTTTCAAATGGCACCCTTGGTAAGGCATTACTTTATTCGATAGGAAATGACACTCTGAATAGAATGACATATTATATGTCAACTATTGACATTCTCGCTTCCAAAAATGTATTTTAAATTTCAATCTGGAGTGCCATGGATGTGCTCAAACCACTAATTTTTAATCAAGGAGCCTTGGAAAAATAGATTTGATCGTCTAATGTTCTTAGTGTCTGTTCCTGGCCGGTTAAAAGATGCCCAAATCGTATTTTTAATCATACCTCAATTTTTTCAAATGGAACGGGGGTAGCTCATTAGCATATTTGGAAAAGCACTTTTTACGAATAATTTGGTGCCGCCGAGTACCACACACTTGGTCAAAAGTTGACATATTATATGTAATTTTATTCAGAGTTCCATTTTCTATCGAACAAAGTAAAAAAATAATGAGGGTGCCATTTTTTCATAAAATCAAAGTTGTAGTAATTTCCGGTGAAACAGGAAGTGACCGAAAACAATTGAATACGTCAATCAATTCTAATTTATGTCATATTTTCCAACATACCAAATATCGTTTTTTTTTTATCTGAAAAAAATAAAAAAGTTATAAGGGCGAGCCACGTTTGAGACGCACCCGGTATAGAACTAATTATAAAATTTATTTCAGAGGAAAAATATCTGGGTGTCTTGCGAAGGAGAAATGCCATCCGACAAAGAATACATAGGAAGCATAACGTATTATCCAAATAATTTTCAAGGATTTCCAGGATATTACTTCCCCTATTTGAATAAAGAAGGATATTTGAGTCCTTTAGTCGCTGTCCGATTTGAAAGACCTGTTCGTAAGTAGAAATATTTTTATGAATAGCCTTCTTACAAAAGAGATATTTACCAAGGAACTACTAACTTTTCAACTCTTCCTTACTTTTATCTATGTTCACTTAATAATTTGCTACTTTTGTTTTCTTTTGTGAATTTTAGCCAATAAATGTTAATAATAATTAAGATTAATTAAAAAATATATTTCTAATAAAATAAATAGAATAATATAATTATTCAATATAAAGATATAGATACCCTACTGACCCTACTGGGAACAACTAAGAAAAAAATAGAAAATTGACATAGTATTTATTTTTGATAAGTATTTGACTAAAAATATAATAGGGACCTTGCCCAAAAAATATATACAGGGTGTCCCTGAAATAAGTGCAAGTATTTTAACTGGTAATATAGGTCAACCCCAGAAACACGCCTCTGAGGTTCTTTTTGGAGAAAAAAAAATTGAAAATTCGGAATTTTTAGAAAATTCCTTTGGATTTTTTTTTAGTTTTTATTTAAAAAAAAATAATTTCCTGCCAATTTCATTGCCATAATATGGCAACATAGGTAGTAGATTAAATTTTCAAGAAAGAAAATCCAGAAAAGATCCAGTGGTTCTCAAAATTTTAGCAAAAAATCATTTTTTTTGGAAATTTTCAAAGTAAAATAACTCCGTTATTTTGAACTTATTTGAAAAACGATAAATAGAAAATATGTTTGTTTGGTCGGGATATATCACCCCTAAAAATACTTGCACTTATTTCTGGGACACCCTGTATAATTTACAAAGTTTGGATGTGGCAGTTTCACATTTCTGAGAGCAACGACAATTGAACTTGCTTCCATGGCTAACTAAGTGAAATTGTATAAAAATGATAAGAATTGGATATAACTCAGTCATTTTTCGAAAAAAATATATTACAGCTAATATCTCTGAAAAGCATAAAAATGGCGCTTTTTATGAAGTCGTAGCCTACTATGGTTTCCATTTAAAAAAAATATATGTTTATGTCATATGTGAAAAATGACAGGCTTTAGAAAAAAAACCGGAGGACACAAACTCATTAGAGATGTGATTATCTAAAACTTTTATTTGAAAATGTTTTGTCTAAAATAGATTATAATGGAATTAGAGACAATTTTTAAAATAGCCGTTATTTGTTTTTTTCGAAATATCTAGTAAGCTATGAATTAACATAAAATAAATATAATATCATATAGTTATAACATAACCCCATAATCTCCAGTAGTTTCCGAGCTACCCATAGAGAACATCGTAGAAAACTCACCCTGTATTTATTTATATTATTGATTATTGAATTAAAAAAACTCTTATTATTCATTTGAAAACTACCGGTTCTTAATTATAATTTTTGCATTGTTAAAATCCACTCTGTGCCCTGTGTCCCATGAATGCTGACAAATGTTAGAGTTACTCGGCTTCTTTTAAATAATTTTTATATTCTATGATTTCAACATTTAGCGATCTAAAGGTTTCATGAATATAAAATTTATCACATTCACATGGTATTTTTGTTTGTTTGAATTATTTTGAATTATAACGGGTTATTACTCATCGTACAGTCTCAGGTCTTTGACAAATGTCATTATCTGAAACAGTTCATAGAGCTTATAGTTCTCCATCTCCGATATCAATCGTACTAAAGTTTGTGGCACAAATGGTTGTGGTCTCGGCGCATTCAGCGATGGGGAGTTCTGGTGTATTCCCCGTTTTTCCTACAGAATTTGCATTCATCGTCGTTTCTTAGCTTAAATATACTGATGTGTTCGTTGACGAGACAGTGTCCTGTTAAAAACGCCATGACAATCCAAAGATTGTTCTTACTTAAATCAAGGAAAATCTTTAGGTCTTAATCTCGGTCATAATTTCTCAGAAATTTCTTTGAGTGTCTTAGACCGTTGGAGGATTCTCATTCCAGGTTACGGGTCGAATCTTCCAGGTTCTTGTGTTCCGCTTTAAGTTAGTTTCCAGTTGGAAAGCAGAACAGTTCTGGTCCAGTTAGTTGAGCGTTCGCTCCTTTTCTAACTAGATCGTTTACTTTTTCATTGCCTTTCTATCCCTTGGTGAGCTGGCACCCAGAGTGGACTTTATTTCCTTTGCCTAATTTCTTCAGCTTCTCTAAGCATTCTTTGACCAACTTCGAATTAATGACTACTGAGTTGATCGCTTTTAGTGCCGCTTGACTATCGGATAAGATGTCTATTTCCTGTTTCCGATAGTTGCTATCTAAGATAAATTGTACTCGTCTTTCGATAGCGTAGATTTCTGCCTGAAAGATGCTAGAGTAAGTGTCCATTGGTTTGAAGTATTTAGTTTTCGGCCTAAATACTCCTATTCCTTTTCCTGCTTTGGTTTTCGAAACATCAGTATAAAAAATGTCTATACCTATGTGGCGGATTCATCTCTCCAAAAAATCCTATATGGGTATTTTGCCACTGCAAATTTGCCTAACGAACAAGAAAAATGCTTAACGTTTCGGAAAGTTTATCTCTTTTCGTCGTCGAAAGCAAAAAATAATACAAAAAATAAAGAAAAAAAACTATTTAAAATAATTAAATTCAACTATTCGAGAACACTTTAGTTTTTTAAAACAGATAGGTCTACAAAAACCGTTGACGTTCTGTTAAAATGATATATAAGATTTTATAATTAAAAATTTAAATTAATTAATTATTTAATTTTATTTTTTTATATTTTTATTTATTTAATATAAGATTTTATTTTAAAGAACATAACATACGTAAAAATTAAAAATAATCATACAGAAAGTTTGGGGCTTTTTGGTTTTACCTTATTAAGTAATTGTTATACAATTTTTGAAGTTTTGAAGTTGATATAACGTCATTTTAACAGAACGTCAACGGTTTTTGTAGACGTATCTGTTTTAAGAAACTAAAGTGTTCTCGAATAGTTGAATTTAAATATTTTAAATAGTTTTTTTCTTTATTCTTTGTATTTTTTTTGCTTCCGACGACGGAAAGAGATAAACTTTCCGAAACGTTAAGCATTTTTTTTGTTCGTTAGACAAATCTGTATATCTGTAAACCTAACTGCTGACAAGTCGTTTCCGTTTGGATTAACGCAGCAGTGTTTGCACAAAATAACTATTTTATTTTGTAGATTTTCTTGCAGTGGCGAAATACCCATATAGGATTTTTTGGAAACAACAGTATATTACGTTATGGTATGATATTTTACCTGCTGAGCAAACGTTTTTCTTTTCCAATATTTTTGTTTGTAGTTCATTATTTATTGGCTTAGTACGGATAAAAATGGAAGTGTATTTTATATTTGCCACAAAGGTATAGGACATTGTAGTGTAACAACCCATGTTCGTCAACAAAGTTGAAGAGGTAATATTTTAGCTAACTGTATAACAAGAAATTTAAATGAAAGAAAGGAACCTACGTTGTGTTAAATATTTTTTTATTGTCATTACCTCGGATGCGTCTCGACAGAAGCAATATTTTGGGAAATTTGAGTAGAATAGTTTATATAAATAAAACGCTAAATTTGTAAATAGCCCTACTTATTTTATTAAATGAAATGAAAGAAGTGCCGTAATTTGACTGGAATTCACATGTAAAAGAGCACGGAGCACGGCAGAGAAAACGATGATCACTATTCCAGAGAATCTAACTATGTCCTGAACTTTAATAAAAGAGAAATAATTAGCGATGGGAACTATCGAATGAATTAGACTATCGAATGGTTAATGAATGAATGATTTCAACTATCGAATGGTTTTATTCGAATAAAATCATTCATTCATTTGTAAACTAAAGCATATGTGACAACCTCGCCGTGCGACTAAATGGTTATCGTTGAGCCACGACTATCGAATGCTTTTGATAAATGAAATTTAGTATTCATTTGGGATTTTGTATGCGTCAGTGCATTATTGGTTCTTCCAAATTTTTATAACTTCGCCGTATAAATACTGTGCTATTTTTGCGTTTATTAAAATAGTTAAAATACTAAAATAGTAGTTATTTTTTAATTTTATTTATTGACGATTGTGTGCATGTGCAGGTGGTCAAAAATTTTCCGATAATTTGTGTGGTTTTCCGTAGTCCGATCTTTCAATTATTTCATTTTATATGGTATATGGTCTATTTTTAATGGGAAATTTTGAGAAGTAGCAATTTTTAGAGAGATGAGATGAACTTACAATTAATTTTAAAAATACATATTTGTATTTTAGATGTTTTAATAATACCTATGAATTAGTTGGAACTTAATAATTATATTTAAGTAATGTGGTTAAATAAATGGTTATCGAACTCAAACTATGGGGTGAGAAAATTAAAATGAAAATTTTACACGTGCCAATTTAAAAAAAGTTAACGATGTTTGTATTTTGTTTATGCTAATTCTCTTACATGTAGTTTTTGCGAAGAAATATTTCATTATTTTTAAAGTAAATGCCAGTAAAAAGTAAATATAATTTTTAAATAGTAATATAAAGCACCTAATATAAATAATTTTGATTTCTAATTTTTTATTTATATTTTCCTTCCATTACACCGCTTGCTTAGAAAATTAATAAATGTTTATATTTCATGATTTTAAAATTTGTTGTTATATTTAATATACCAACGTTGCCAAAAAAATTAGAGGCTATATTATTTTTAAATAGGATCTAATATAAATAATTTTGACATCTAATTTGTTGTTTATATTTTGCTACTACTTAAAAAAATATTTATATTAAATGATTTTAAATTTTGTTGTTAATAGGTATAACAAATTATTACTGTTATTATTATTTATTAAACCAGTCTTTGCTTAAAAACATTAAAAATAATTTTCCTACATCCAAAATAACAAGTATTATTGCAGTGTAACAACAGAATATTAATAAAAAATGCAGAATATATAGACATACTATCCCTAACTAACTAAAGCCAAACAATAATATTCTTTGCTAATATCAACTAATACAAAAATATGGCAACAGCGCCCTTCATAATGTATTTTCTGTGTAAATACTAGCACCTCAATAAAAAAATAATGTGTCCTTATCTATATATGACTCCGCAAAAAATCAAAGATGCCGGCTTCTTTCATTGCATTGCCACCGACCGCTTTCTCGGAAAAAAACCTACGTCGCCGGGCGACAACTAAAATTCAGTTAATATTTTATTATAATCGATCCTGACGAATAAATGAATTTCATAAATGAATGAATTTTATAAATGAATGAATTTTATAAATGAATGAATTTTATAAATGAATGGTTTTTGCTGCCGAATTACTAGAATACAATATTTCAAGGCAGATGACGGATCTATTCGATAATTTTTATTCGAATAGTTTTCAACGAATGTTTTCTTACTAACTATCGAATTATTCGAATGAATTGCAACTATCGAATGTTTCGATAGTATTCAATCGATAGTTCCCACTACTAGTATTTTCTGTGTAAATACTAGCACCTCAATAAAAAAAATAATGTGTCCTTATCTACATATGACTCCGCAAAAAATCAAAGATGCCGGCTTCTTTCATAGCATTGCCACCGACCGCTTTCTCGGAAAAAACCTACGTCGCCGGGCGACAACTAAAATTCAGTTAATATTTTATTATAATCGATCCTGACGAATAAATGAATTTCATAAATGAATGAATTTTATAAATGAATGAATTTTATAAATGAATGAATTTTATAAATGAATGAATTTTATAAATGAATGGATTTTATAAATGAATGGTTTTTGCTGCCGAATTACTAGAATACAATATTTCAAGGCAGATGACGGATCTATTCGATAATTTTTATTCGAATAGTTTTCAACGAATGTTTTCTTACTAACTATCGAATTATTCGAATGAATTGCAACTATCGAATGTTTCGATAGTATTCATTCGATAGTTCCCACTACTAGAAATAATAATAATATAGAAACTGTCCTCATACCTAGGTTTATAGTTTAATACATTCAAAACATGCCACATTTATATCGTTCAAAACTGAAGAAAGTTAGTTTAACGGGTCCCCACCCGTAGGTACGAAGTCCCTGGTTGCGGAGATCGACGCTAAAGTTGAAGGTCTGGTGCAAATATCTTTAGATCATAAGTTATTCTATTTATTGTTTCTGGTTGCCCTTTTGCGAGCTAAGATATTCGCCCATGTACGGACGAAAAATGTTAGTACACTCAACAAGGCCCTTATTCTCACACACCACAAACATCGGCACGAAGGAACAGTAAACGATTGTATTTAGATTACTTTTAAACTGAAATTATTTAGAGCATAGCTAGATTCCATTAAATGCATACACATGTTATATTTATTTTATGCACATTTTATATATCTTTGTTAGATCAAATAAATAAAGAAAAATTTAGAACAGAATGACAACAGGAAAAATGAAATATATTCTTAGTTAACAATAGTTAAATAATGAGAAAACATTTACTTTGCCTTTAATAACATTCTTTGTCACAAAACTAACGAACCAAAATATGGTAGTCTAAACGCTATTATTTAACAACTATCATCTCTGCTCGTCGCCTGATTTCCCTCTCTCTAGTTTGTGAATAATATTTTAAAAATCAATAATTTTATTTATGTATACAGAGTGTCTTAAAAATGAATATTTTGAATTTAAAGAAATATGTCTATTTTTAAATATGTGTTTCATCTCAACATTATTTTTAATATAATTGTAATTTTGTTTCAGCCGGAATCGTAATCAACGTCGAGTGTCGCGCCTGGGCCAAGAACATAAAGTACAGCAGAATGGACAGGACCGGTTCAGTGCATTTTGAACTTTTAATCGACTAAACACGAGCAGCGGCCGTAATCTTATGTCCGGTACGAAATTGTAGATCTGATGTAAATTGATATTAACTAGTATTAAGCGAAAAACTCATCTTGACTGTATCACGGTCTATTTCGAATAAACAGGGAGGTACTGAAATAATTATATTCAGGAGAACTATGATTCTTTTAAGGTATAAGTAAATTTCGAAAGTAACGCCATATCTTTAAATTATACCATGGCATCTATAAAGTCTAGCATAAATAAATTTTTGTTTTATCTTTTTTTTACAAAATAGAACATATTAATGTATTTTGGATTCATTAGTATCTCATTGGATCCTATTTCTCACTGAACGATTTTACCTATATGTTCTCTGAAGTTTTTCTTGCATATTTATTTACCAATGAGTGAAGGAAAAGAAGTTTGTTTCAAAAATAATAAATTATACAGAAAAAAATTACCTATTGAACCACATATTATATGTGTTTAGAAGTTTTTGTAGCTATAATATATTTTTTTAAATAATTGATTCAAAGAATCATTTTTATATGCCTCCAGACTTCCGAAAAGCACAAATAACTACTATATAAGTACTTTTATATTAAACGAAACTGTACAATATTTGTAGAAATAAAATATAAACCATTAATATGTAGATTATTTTATAATTGAAATACTACCAAAAAAAATATCTATATGAAATGAAGAAACACAGCACACACATCTATTGTGATAGAGTACCTAACAAAAACAAAAATAATAATGTGTTTATTATTATTTTATTTTTGAATATCCGTTGATATTGAAATCTTGACCTCAATGCCAATTTAATATAATTTTTACAATTTGTTTGATAAATAAATATTTCTAAATAATTCAATTTTTTTGTGAGTTAATAATTTAATTTAATTACGTATAGTCTGTCCAACTCTAAGAAGTTAGACAGCAAGTGACAGAAAATACGATTTACCTGTGAACTAAAATGACAGACAATTGTCACTGTCATGCATTCTTCCGTTGGACAGACTTTAGCTTATATTATTTTGTTATTCTATTTCATTAGGATGTTTTTGTAAAAGAAATCATGTAGGCCACTGACTTTTTTCTCTTGTTAGAGAAATTTATTGCTGATTAAAAGTTGTCTCTTGATATTTTGTCGATTTCGGCCTCCTTGAACGCAATAAACGCAATTTTATTAATTTGCTTTGATCCGAGTCTAATAGCAAGCTTTAAAAAATTTTCTTATCATTAATCTGCGAAAGTTTTAAATTTCCTATAACCATAGGTATGGACTAGGGTTTCCAGAACAGGAGCTGTTTTTCGGAACCGGGAATTTCGGTATCGCGCCTCTTAGGGGGGATGCCAAACCGGGATTTCCCGTTTTTTTTCGGTACTTTTGGTACTGACTAAATTTTGGTCAATGGTGGTGCAGTTCATCAATCAGAAAGCAAGGGATGATTTTTCATAGTAAAATGGTTAAAAATTTGACATTTTTAATGAAAATACTATCAAATTATTAAGTAATCAGTCATGAAAAAAATAACATGAACACAAGTAAAGAAAAAAGTATTGGTAACTTAAATTTCACATCAAACAACATATACCAACTTAACTGAATTTGAGACAAAAGCACTAAAATATTGAATTAAAAATGTAAATATCTATTAAAACCTAACATAATAAATATATTATAAGAACTTCCAAAAAGAAAAGAAGCAAGAGCAACAAGAAATAACATCATTAGATACTTATTTAGAAGAGTTTAATTTCGACCGCTAGAAAGTATCAAAGAACTTTCTCACCTAACAAAAAAATAATTTTTTAATTATTCTGTTCTGTGATGGCCAAAAAGATCCGAATCCTAATTGGTAGTATTAATTAGAGTTTCCGAAACCGTATTAAAATATTTTCGTTCAATGATTGTGGAGTTCGTCAATTAGCAAGCAAAGGATGGTTCTCAAAAGTAAAACCGATAAAAATTGAGTTTCAAATAAAAATAATATCAAATTATTAAGTCATGACAAAGTAAACATGAACATAAGTGTAGAAAAAACAAACATAGCTTAAAAATTACATCAAACAACATCAACCAACTTCCAGACCAACTTAATTAAATTAAAAAAAAAACTTAACATTTTCAAAAGATGCAAATGCCTATAAAAACATAACACAAAAAATATAACTAATACATTCAGCAATATTATACTAAATAATAAAATAACATATTTAAACTGTAATAATTGCTAATAAACATATAAACTAAACCAGGATTTCCCGAACCCTAGTATTGACGTACGGAAATGCATAATTTTAAAATTACAGGATGTTAAAGCTTTTTAAATTTATGTTTTTTGTAATTATTATATTAAATACCATAATTTTTTTATTCGAAATTGCTGTAGGTTCGACTAATAGTAATAATATTTAATAATAAATTAGATAAAATGAATAATTTATTAATTTTATTTTTAATTTAATTTTATTAATTGGGATTAATTTAATATTATGTACGTAAGATCAATCCATGTGCTGGGACAGCTGGATAACTAGAGTTACTATTTATTCTTTATTTAGATATATCCGTTTGTTATAAAATGACTAAAACATCGAACACATGTTCAACAATAATACACTGCTTAGAGCGAAATCCAACCAATTAAAATAAATAAAGTTTGAAGATTAATAAAAGCAATGTATTAATGATCTTGCATTCTTGCGAATATTATCACTTAAGAGTCCAGGCACATGAAAAATATATTAACATTTTAATTAAAAATATTGATAAATAATATTTTTACCGTAAAAGTAGACATTATTTATATTTGACAGATGCTAATGAAGATACAAAATCATGAGAAAATTATATTTTAAAGAAAAATTACTTGTTTCTAAATTATATTTTCATAATAAAAAAAAAATAAATATGAAAACTGGTGGTAAAAATATATCATCAAATATATGGCATAATATATAATTCCTTCTTGACCTTAGTTTAAATCAAAAGTTTCACAAAATTATCTTGAATAGATGTTTGAAATATTTCTTCTAAACACTTAAAAAATTACTCATTAATACTTGAAAATTACTCATTAAAAATTACTCATTGATATTATAAACATTTTCTTTAATTTCCCAAAATTGTTATTTTTTACTTAAGTTTTTTTAACTAAGATTTCATTGACTTTTTTGTTACAAAATAAATTAATGATATTTTGTTATACCTACCGATAAGGCATTGGTGCATCTGGAGTTGGACTAGAGGGTTCTTAGTTGGTTCTTAGCCCCCCAACCTGAAAATTAACCGCCCCCAGCCGCAAAAATGCCCCCACTGATGTTTGGTGCGAGTCGTTTTAAATTCGTTTTAACCTTAAATCATTATTATCTTTTAAGTGGGCTGAGCCCATCAAAATAAAAGACTTAAGCCCCCTAAAAATCGGTGTCTAGTTTTGTGCACTGTCAATAGGAATTATCCAAGGTCCTATTTTCATTAAATAAAATGCGCATAGAATAGAAATGGACTATATTAAAATGTTACGATAATTATATCTATAGATGAACAAACATGCAAACATAATTAATGAGAGAGATGTGATGTAAATTACAGTTTCTATATATAAATAGCTTAAACTATGACAGTACTTTTCTACTAGTTCCAATGACTGAACAACTTATTTCGTTATGGGATTAAATCAGCAATTGCTTAAAAAATATCTTTTTAGATTCCAGCACATTTTAGTAAGTATTTTTTATTATTTCGTTAAAGAACAGGCATATTTATAAGTATATAAGCGTATATACATTATATTATTTATAGAAATTTCTTTATTAAATCCTATGTTACTCTATTAGCCTTGCTGTTTTTATTTTGTTGTAACATATTTTATATATTTTAATGGTTGTTATATTTGACTAAAATGTAGTCTGTCAAGAGTCAGGAAAGATTTCGATAAATATAACAGTCAAAAAGTGACAGATAATACCATAATACAATTTACATGTGAATTAAAATGATGATACACAAAAATTGTCCTTCATATATTCTTTGTTGTCCTTGTCACAAACTGTCCTTGCCCTGGATCCTTTCGTTGGAAAGACCTGGATTGACGACTATAATTTACTTTTATTTATTACTTATAGTTACGTATTGTATTAACAAAAATTGCAAACTATTTAAAGACAGATTATTATACGTCAAACAAACCTTCAATGGAGTAAGGACTACAGCTTATTTACTACCAGCTGGTTATCTTCGCTCGTTTTGAGTATTCGCGTTTCACTTTTTGCGCCTTTTCTCGTACACCCTTTGTACACAAATATAGCAACCAAGATTTTCCTGGTCTTAGTATTGTAGTATAATATTCTTAGTCTTGATCTTGGTCTAGGTCTTCGTCTTATCGTCTTGGTCCTGCTGCAAAACTCACACTAGTACAGTACTCACACTGCACTTTTTTAATATACTTTTTTACTAGAAGCACCTTTTACATAAAAAAAATCTTTAAATAAGTAGTAATTTAATGCAAATGAAACTTTAAAGAAGGAATCAATAAATTTGCCTGACAAAAAATTTTATTTTTCAATATACAGGGTCTTCCAGAAATAAGTGCAAGTATTACAACTGGTAGTATAGTTATATACCCCACAAACACGCCCATGAGGTTTTTTGCGAAAATTTGTTTGAAAATTTCATATTTTTCTTCACATTTTTCTTAAAATATTGAAAACTTCTTAGTGCCGCCTGTTCAGTTTCCCGAAATTTGTTTATAGTGCATGGAGAGAATGCAATGTTGCCCACGTTATCCACATTCTGTATGATTATTATAAGTTATAAGTTCAAATTTTTAAATTTCGACATAAAAATACTTAAATTAATTTATTCATTGTAGATTTTTTAATCATTGTAGATTACTATTAAGTATTGTGTAACGCCTACTGTTTTAAATACCTTTTTACAGTTTATTAAACTGAAATAATGTGTTACTGGTAATTTGTTTTGTTTCGTTAGGTTTGGTTTGGTTTGACTTACGTAACATAAACTAATATGTAGGTGGGATAAGAAATTTCTATAAAAAAAACCATAAGTTGGCCAGCTCGCATTGAACAGGCTATGCTACTACTAAAAAGTTCTCAATTAAAAAAAAATAAAAAAGAATATACAAGTAATCAATAAATTTTCATTAGTGATGAGAGAGACTAGTCTTCGTTTTCGTCTTTCACAAAGACCAACTTATGCAAGACTTGCGCAAAACCTAGACCAAGACGCAGCATGAAAGACTCTTGCTGTCTTGCGGATTTTTGACGTTTTTTATTTACGTCTCATTTTTCATAGATATTAATTAAAAAAATACGGAAATTACTACTCCCCCTATAATTTATTAAACAAAAATTAATAAAAAAGTGTTTCTCCCAAACTATTGCCAGAGAATATGTGATTTATAGTAACCGTATCCGTAACCGTAACCGTAACCCTAACCGTAACCGTAAAATAAGCCATAAGGGCGTGTTGTTTTCACTTTTGTAACTAAATAGTTGGCCGACTAAAAATTGCATGTCTCAGCGCCTAGGCTTATTGTTTCGAATTTTCGATCAGAGTATACAGAATACATATATATAAAAACGTAATTCAGAGTATTCAAGGTGTCTTGTATTTCAAATTAATATATATATATATATATATATATATATATATATATATATATATATATATATATATATATATATATATATATATATATATATATATATATACCAGAAATGAGTGCAGATATTTTAACTGGTAGTATAGTTCAACCCCAGAAACACGCCTATGAGGTTTTTTGCGAAAAAAAATGTTGAAAATTTTATATTTTTCTTGACATTTTCCGGAAAATGTTGAAAAACTTTTGAGTGCCACTGTTCACTCCCCGGGAAATTCGTTTACCGGGCATAGAGAGTGTCCGAGAATGCAACGTTGCCACCTCCTACCATACCCACATTCTGCATGTTTATCTATAAATTCAATTATTTTAAGTTGCTACAGAAAAAAATACGAAAATTCATTTTATTCATATTAGTGTAGATTGCTCTACTAATTCTAGAGAAACGCGCAATATTTTAAATACTTTTTACAGTGGAGTAAACTGAAAAAATAAATCTTAACAATTATAGCTTCTTTTTTCGCCATATTAGGAAATATTTTCAATCGTTTCAATAAACAATTATAACCTTTAATGTTTAGTTAGAGCTTACCCTTTTAATGAAAGTGTTTTTTATCCAGCACACATATACGTAAACACATACACACCAAATATCTATTAAACTGAACATCACAAACCTATCACATGCCTATTACTTTTAAAATATTATTTAAAATTTTTCACATGATAATAATCAAACACTAAACTCATAAATACAATAAAAAATGTTAAAAATTTACTACATATCCGGAGGCTGATGGTAGACAGTCCGGGGTTTTCTTCGCCATTTCTTCAAAACCGACGCAACCCCGACAACGATTTCGAAAACACTGAAGGAATTACAATTACAAATTACAAATTTTTATTTAGAAATTTTTTACCTTAGCGTCCTCTACTGGACTGATGTATTACTATTATGGGTCAACGTTTTGGTGGTTGTATAAAGATAGATAAATCAATTTTCTAAACGTTTAATGTATGGAGTAGGGATATCCCAAAAATAAAATAAAAGTACAAGAAAGCGTATACCCAAGAAAGAATTAAGGTAAAATCAAAGAGTATTCTACGTTATCTAAAATATAAAAATATGGGAAGCCCCGACAACAATCTGACACCTGATATCAAAGTGATAAACAAACATCGGCGCATGCGGCAGCGAGCACTTACACTTAATTTTTCAGTTCATTGCTAGATAGCCTTTTACTAGGGATGCACTGCAAACAAATATTCCAGCAAAACTAAAGTGTTTTTTCTTATTCTAAATTCTAACAAATAAATAAACCTGTAAAACTGTATAAATAAAATCGGTCATCGATTTAAAAAAAAAGATCGATTATACCAAAAAATCGTTTGATAAAAATCACGTCGATTTGATAATAATCGATTCGAATCGTACATCCCTAGTATGGTGTGTAGTTTAAGGTTATGTTTAAGGTTAATCGTGGGTTATTAAACTCGCACAAAAACAAAACAGAAAACAACAAAAAACAATGCAAACAATGCCAAATAAACCTGTAAAAAAGTACTTTTATTATTCAAAATGAAATATCATATAATTCAGTTGGTATACGAATATTTTTTGATTTATTTATAATGTTTGGTGTCAAAAATATGTGAGAAATGAGGTAAACAGTTTAAATGTCTTAATAAATTCGTTTTTAATTTATTAACCTTTCAGGTATCTACCTAATGGTAGGAAGAAATTAATTATGTAATGGTAGGAAAAATAATTTCACTTTAATTATGTATTAGAAAATCAGTAATCTTAAATTAGGATGCATCAATGGAGAAGAAGGCAATTGTAATCACAATACAATAATAGATCTACAAATACCAAGCAATACATTAAATCAAAAATCTCAGTAACACTGTTATTATGTACTCCCTGTGGTCTTATTAAGTATAAAGTTTTGTTTTACATGAAAATAATTATCCCATTTAATTATGCATTAAATTTTAGTGTCAGCTTATTGATAGCTCGATTACCAGTCAAATAGTTTCGATGTTTTCTATACTATGAAGAAAATTTGATCTGATTAGATTAATTCAGATGTAAATTTATGTTATACGGTAAGATATTTTTAAACAAACCAAGAAAGTTCTCTTCAGACAAGTTCTGGTCTGAAATTGCAAATATTAACGAAAAAGTTATACATGTAGTTTTCTATTCATAAATGATATTATTGATTTTATTCTAGGTGAATGTATCGAGTCATATATTATGCAGAATATATTGAGAAAATGGTAAACTAACTAAAAGTGCTAACAAAATTTCTTAGGAAGTTATCGATATACCTAATTATTAGAAGCTGTAACAAATGTTCAAAGAGTCAGAGTATACTTTATTAGAAGTGTGTTAGATAGAATTATACACTTTAAAGAAAATATCTTTTATTATTGCAGGTAATGCATATTGTGTAATGCATATAATATGTGAAATCTATTATTACATACAAAGATTGAAAATTATTTAAACAGCTACCTGTATGTTGTCTCACAATCTCATTTAGTGAATGGGTTATTAAAAATTGAACATATTTACACACAGAATATTGTGGATATGGATATCTGGAAAGCATGTTATAACCATTTTTATTTTTAGGATTTATGAAATGATTACATAAATATACTAACAACAAATTGCAATGCATCTGTATATTAGAGACAAAGATGAAAGAGAGTAACAAGAATATATGTATTCAAAAGAAAAATATCAAGACCATTTGTAGTAATTAAAATTAAAGAATAAAATACATAAAATGTACCATATGATCGAAAAAAAAACGGCGTCCAGTTGGCTGGGAAATGACGATCAATGACATTTCCTATATAAATTTACATATAAAATGACAGCGACCTTCATTTCATAGCCATCGTTGACGCCGTTTTTTCTCGATCATACGGTAGTTTATGTGTGAACAAATTCTCATTTCATATAAAAATTGGAGCTCTATCTAGAGTATATTTGAATATAAATGTTTTTATGTATTGGAAGGGGGACTGTAGTTTTCAAATATAATAAAGAAAATAGACTAAAAAAACATGTGTGTAAGTTCTTTTTTAAACTATTCTGTAGTTACGTAAATGTGTTTCAAATAGGTTGCTTTTCACAATAAAGTCAATACACAGTAATTATGCTTTACTTTTTCAAAACACACTCTTGTTTTTTATTATCAGAGAGTTATTAATATTAGAAAATTTAGTTACATGAATATAATAGGAGTAAATATTATGTTTCAAGTTTCAAATAATTAGAATATGATATGAGTCATAATAGCTTAAATATGATTGCTAATAAAATACCTAGTTTATACACATTTAGATATATCTCTTTAAATATAAATTAGTATTGCCACCATGCGATTAATGGGAAATACAATATGGTCGTGAAAACAAAAACGGCGTCAGCGATGGCTATGATATAAAGATCGCTGTCAATTTATGTGTAAAATTTTATGGAGAATGTCACCGACCGTTATTTTCAAGCCATTCTGGACGCCGTTTTTTTCGACCATACGGTATTTCTAGGTATGGAATTATGTCTCTAATATGTAGTTAGGTAATTTTTTCCATTTGCCTATTGTTAATTATAACGTCGTCAAACTATAAAATTTGCTATATTTTTTACTTAAATTTTTTTTAGTAATATCAGAACATGTTTTGAATAGTTTAATTAGTAATAAAGCTACTAACATGTTCAGTTATTTTTTTTTTTTCTATAAAGCTTTTTTGATAAAAAAATAAGTATACCTGCTAAGACGTTAAATTGCTTGAGAAATTACGATCGATGCCATTTACCATCCACTTTTACACAATAAAATGCCATCGATCGTAATTTCAAAAGCAGAAAACTTGCCGCCGTTTTTTCCAATGAAATGGGCGGTGGGGAGAAAATTACAGATTCCTGTATTATATTAACGTCATTATTAATCGCATGTACACAAAGCATGTACACTATTAAAATCGATCTAATTTCTAATATTATCGAGCTTTTAAAATTCGAGAAAGTGATCGGAGATTGTGTTTAAAGTGTTGTGAAATGTTCGTTAGTGCATATTTTTGTGTCGGTAATCGGTATCGGTATAGGCAAATCGCGATGGAGTATACAAATCCGAAGAAGGTGGATATGCTAAGAGCATAGGTACTTTCTGGCAGGGGAAAGCGCTGTAGAAGCTCGGGGACTTATTCCGAAGAGTATCCGAATAGATAAATCCCTAATGCTCGAACCTTTGTAAGTATGGTTCAGCATTTGAAGGATTCGGGAGAAAAGCAACGAAGAATTGCTACAAAACGTTAAAAATTCCATGCTCAGAAGAAGGAGAGCATGTATTGGAAATGGAGGTCGTCATGTTGAACAATTATTGTAATAGCATGCAGTCAAGAAGCAAGGGTATACCGGGTGGTGCATCATCGTTGGAAATATAGGATATCCCATGCAAATTTTGAACTGTCGAGATATTGGATCCCCTTGTGCAAATTTGTAATGTATCTTTAAAAACCATTTACGATTTAGCTCTAAAATTAATAGGGGAGCCAATATTTCCACAGTTGAAAATTTGCATAGTGTTGTTAAGAATTGTAGTGAAGTGATGTTATTAAGTGTAGTGTTATGTGCAGTTTTAAGAGTGGTAAAATGGAAAAAAAGAAAGCTCTGCAGTTGTATCTCTCTGCTATAGGGATATCTTTTTTTATTGTTTGGTAAGTTTTTTTTCTTTTAGTTTATTTTGTGTAATGTGAAAAGTAGGGCTACTGGCGATCACCCACTTAAAAAAAGTAACGCACCTCTGCAGAACCTCTTGGATGGTGTGGGATTTTGCAAGTACTTTTTAAGTCTTTCTAGTCGATGTGGCAACAGCGGGCGGCGAACAAGCTGAGATCCGCGAGATCTCTCCCCCGCGCCGGGGGATCCGCGAGATTCCCCGGCGGCTCTCAAAATGTCGCAATTTTTTTTTTAAACTTTCAAAGTTAAATAACTCGGTTATTTTCAATCTATTTTAAAAATGGTAAAGAGAAAATATGTTTCTTTTGGCCAGATCTACCACCCCTTAAAATATCTGCACTCATTTCTGGGACACCCTGTATATATATATATATATATATATATATATATATATATATATATATATATATATATATATATATATATATATATATATATATATATATATATATATATATATATATATATATATTTTAAAATATGTGATAATTGTGTTGAGTAGTTTAATAATAACGCGTAATATACCGGGTGCGTCTCAAAAGTGGCTCACCCCTATTTTTTTTCCAGATAAAAAACGAGATTTGGTATATTAGTATTTGACATAAATTAGGACTGATTGACGTATTCAGTTGTTTTCGGTCACTTCCTGTTTCACCGGAAATGATTACAACTTTTGATTTTTAAGTGGCACCCTCGGAATTTTTTTTACTTTATTCGATAGAAAATGACACTCCAAATCGAATGACATATTCGCTCAAAAATAAATTGTATTTTAAAATTCAATCTAGAGTGCCATGGCTGTGTTAAAAACACTAATTTTTATAAAGGAGCCCTGGAAAAATAAATTTTATCGTTTAATGTTTTTAGTGTCTTCTTCTGGCCGGTTAAAAGATGCCCAAATCGTATTTTTTTAATTATATCTCATTTTTTTTTAAATGGACCGAGGGTGGCTCATTAGAATATTTGGAAAATGCATTTTTTTCGAATGATTTGATACCACACACTTGGTATTTCGAGTCAAATTGTCGTTATGAACCGCATGTTATAATTTCAAATAAACCATATGCGAAAATGTCAAAAGTTGACATATCATATGTCATTCTATTCAGAATGTTATTTCCTATCGAATAAAGTATAAAAATACCGAGGGTGCCATTTAAAAATCAAAAGTTGTAGTCATTTCTGGTAAAACTAGAAGTGACCGACAACAATAATTGAATATGACAATCAATCCCGAATTTCTGTCGTATACTAACATACCAAATCTCGTTGTTTATCTGAAAAAGTATAAAAGTTATAGAGGTGAGCCACTTTTGAGACGCACCCGGTATAATATCCACACCCATAGAATTGGGACTCTTAAGTCAAAAAATCTGGAACGATACAAATCAATAAGCCGGCCTTCGTCGCAAAAACCGTTCGATCATCGTTGTCCAAACCACCGACCGCACAGCTTCCACTCTCGCACTCCAGATGCCGCTCTCGGGGCGCCGTTCCATAGCGACGACGACGTCGGCGGCGGCGTCGCAGTGCTAACTTTGGCAAGGGTGACGCGCACGTCGATAGCCGCCTTTCCACCCCTTCTTGCAGCAGAACCACCACAGTGCGAAGCGGCAGGACGTACAGTTGCAAAAATGGCAGACAAAAAACCCGCTGACGGCCAGCAGTTCTACCAGAGACCGCCGAAACTAGGCAAATGGGAGGCCTTCAGCCAGTTCCTATGGAACTCGGAAACGAAGCAGTTTATGGGAAGAACCGGAGCCAGTTGGGGTAAGTTTTTTTTACTTTTAATCCAGGTTACATCCTTTTGCATAGATATCCCTAATTCACCACCAAAATCGATTAAACAAAACCTACTAAAGATTCAAACTAAATTCATAAAAATCTACTTTTCTACCCTTTCAGCATTGAACTCTTGACCTTTTCATAGCACTCTTACATAATCCTAACATTTTATTAATAAAAATTCATGTCTTGGCGCTATTTGAAACCGGCATTTTTTCTAGCGCGTTAAAAAAACGGGAATAGGGCAAAAAGTCGTTTGAATAAAATATGGGTTCGGGGGTTGTTATTTAAGGGTCTTTATTAAGGGACGGCGCCATCGCGGCGACTCTGGGGATTTCGGAAGGCCGACGCCCGCTATAAGGATTCGATTTATATAGTTGGTAATTTGGGAGAGTATATATTTTCTCGGATTTTTTAAAACAGAATTTTTGCGTTTTATTAAAAATGAAATATGCAGAGAAGTTTCATCAAATTTAAATTTAATTTATATTATTTTAACATTTATTTAAGCAGACTCAAGAAAATAATTAATACTTGTGCCACACTCCTTTAAATTATACAGGGTGTCCCAGAAATAAGTGCAAGTATTTTAACTGGTAGTATAGCTCAACTCCAGAAACACGCCTACATGAGGCTTCTTTCGCAAAAAAGAAAATTCAAAATGCGAAACAAATTTTTGAAACATTTTTTGGAGATTTTTTTAGTTTTTAGTTAAACAACATAATTTCTTGATAATATGGCAACATAGGTATTATATTAAATTTACAAGAAAAAAAATCCAGAAAAGATCCAGTGGTTCTCAAAATTTTAGCAAAAAATCATTTTTTTGGAAATTTTCGGAAGTAAAATAACTCCGTTATTTCGGACTTTTTTTGAAAAACGATAAAGAGAAAATATGTTCCTTTTATCGAAATCTACCACGCCTTAAAATACTTGCACTTATTTCTGGGACACCCTGTATATTAAGGAGCTAATTTGTAGCAATATTTGCTTTATATGAAATAAGAATTTGAAATTTAATATACACCGGGTGCGTCTCAAAAGTGGATCACTTCTATAACTTTTTTATTTTTTCAGATAAAAAAAACGAGATTCGGTATTTTAGTCTATGACATAAATTAGGATTTATTGACGGTATTCAGTTCCTTTTGGCAACTTCCTGTATCACCGGAAATAACTACAACTTTTGATTTTTAAATGGCACCCTCGGTATTTTTTTACTTTATTCGATAGAAAATGACACTCTAACACCAAAGGTTCCAACCCCCAACTGTAATGGTATAATATTAACTAAGAGAGATCGTATTTAAAAATTTTACTCCCATTTTCATATCATAACGAACTTTGGAATGTTTTGTTAAAATATCTTTTATATTTGCTATTTTGCCTCTTCAGTCCCATTGTTCAATCCCACGACACCCAAAGAGTTTTTTAGATGTCGAATTTTTTTTTTAATATCTTTGTTAAATTATAATTTAATTATATATATTTTTAATAAGTTAATATCTTTGTTAAATTGTTATTATTCTTGTTTATTAAATCTGTCTTCATTGTTTTATTTGCTATAATTCTATGCACTTACATATATTAATGTGTTGCGCTTATACATGTCCAAAACAATGTATATCCGTTCTTATAATATAAATTAAACTGTTGTATTTAATGAATTTTTGATAATAGGTCAGTGAGGTTTAATCTTTCGCCTTTATTTGTTTACTATATAAATAATGATAGTTTAAATGAGCGTTTTTATTTTATATGCAATAACGGGGGATATATTACATAAAAATGCCCCAACAGGAACAAATTCTATCAATAATACAAAAATTAAGTACATTGAGGGAAAATTATAAAATGTTAGACAGATGGAATATTAATATTTGGCAATATTTGGGATATTACAGTTGAGGGTTGAAACCTTTGTTGTTACACAGCAAAATAAAAACACTAAATCACCACAATACACCAAAACACTTTTACTTTTACACTGGACGCGCGTTTCGCTAACCATGTTAGCATCATCAGCAGATGATTATAAACTATCTATCTACTATCAGTTTATAATCATCTGCTGATGATGCTAACATGGTTAGCGAAACGCGCGTCCAGTGTAAAAGTAAAAGTGTTTTGGTGTATTGTGGTGATTTAGTGTTTTTATTTTGCAATATTTGGGATAATTATGCTAAAGTTATTTTCAAATTATGTTAAAATTATATTATATTAATTATTACGAAATTTTACAATTTTATGTTAAAGATTATATTAACTTGATATCTATTACAGATTGTTCCTATAAGTCTTATTAAGTTGATGTTTTTAAATAGAAATTAGAAATTCCCATATACTTTTTTAATTGTATAAAGTATATTATTTATTTTAATCATGACAAACTACTAACGAACTTGTAAATGACAAGAAAATAAAATTCAACCTTTGTATAATCGAAGAAAACGGCGTCCAGTTGGCTTGGAAATGATCGATGACATTCCCCATATAATTTTCCATATATATAAAATGACAGCGATCTTCATTTCAGAGCCATCCCTGACGCTGTTTTTTTTTTCGATTGTATGGTATATGACATATTATGAACATAATGTATTAAACAAGGATTAAACTAAAAATAGCAGAAGTTATTAGTTTCATTATATTACAGTTATACACGACACTAAACGACAAAATCGATCTATCAACGTTCTCCATGATCATGAACCAATTAATAATTATATTTAACAAGTGACTGACGAACCTTAATGATGTTGTGCTGTTGAAAGCTGGTTAAATGTGCCTAAATTTATTTAGTTTTTGTGTTTAAAATATATCTTAATTAAGTACAAATGTACTTACTAGGCGCATTAAAGGTGATAATAATGTGCGTTTAATTAAACACTACTTATTGTGATTCACATGTTTTTTTTTAATTTTAAGTTTTTTAGATACTCACTATTTAAATATCAATATTACTGTTGATTAACGCTTGTTTTTCCTATATAAATTAATCATTTTACGAAAAATATCCATTGTGATTATTTAACATGTCGTTCAGAGCTGCAAGCTTGCAGTCAGAGTTGCAAGCTCACAGAAAACTTAAGTAAGAAATATAGACTTAATAAGTCAAAAAAACGACTTAAATAACGTTATATTGATTATATATTATATGAAGTCTTTACAAAAATTACTTGACTTGAAATAAAATGGTTTAAGTCAAACTTTATGTTGAATTTGACTTAATATTTAAATAATTTTGATTTTAGAAATTACTTAAGATTTAAGTCTTATTAAAACTGACTTGTTACAGCTCTGTGTATACAACATTCAATAAATTATCAATTAGACAACTTGATCAATTAAATATCTAAAAGTCATTAAATGTCGTTAAACTTAATAACATGTTTATATAATATTTTGATAAGTATAAGTGATAATTTAAATAAATTTAGTAGCTATATTAGCTAGATTTTAGCTGTTTTTGCCCTTTCCTATGTCTCTTATCAAACTTCATTAAACTTTAATACGTCATTTCCAGTAACAACCTGCCCTAATTTCTCTTGGGTGCTTGTTAATGATTCATTATTTTGCCTCAACTTCAGGAATTAAATTGAATGCATCAGTAGAGCTACTTGATTAATTAAAATATATTTGAATATACCCAGTGTTATGCAGAAAATTGTACTTAATTAGCGTTAAGGGAATAAAGTATGTATGCGCACAGGTTAATTAGGTAATCGAATAATTAGTTCAATTAGAGGTGAATACTAAAATTTCTCCTATGTTATTGATTTGCTCACGTCATTATCTCTAATGACGAAATATATACCATAATATATAACCATTTATTACTTACGATTTTTCAATATTTAATTAATTATTCAATACATTTCATTGAAATGTATCTTTGAATTATAAATATAGCAACTATAGACTAGATATAAAAATAGCATTTTTATAATATAATTTAATTTGTAACTATTTTTCGAATGCAGTTGGGGTGGAAACCTTTGGTGTTCCTAAGCAAAATAAAACACTGGTGCATTACAATAAACCAAAACACTTTATTTCTAATAGCGAACACGCATTTTGCTAACCATATTAGCATCATGCGTAAAATTATGATTACTACAGTTTTAATCATTTGCTAATGATGGTAACATTATTGTTAACTAAGTACCGTATGATCAAATAAAAACGGCGTCAGCAATGGCTAGGAAATGATAATCGATGACATTTCCCATATAAATTTACATATAAAATGACTGCGATCTTCATTTCATAGCCATCGCTGACACCGTACACTATCCACTATTACACTATCGAATTTCTTTGTCAAAGTGTAAAATGTGTGTGATTTTATAAAATATTGTATATTAACATTGTCAAATTTTACTTAAAATATAATTTATAAAAGATCTTTGACAAAGAAATTTGATAGACTCCTTGGACTTTTTCTTGCAGTCTAATAATACTCTTACTCTTGGTCTTGCTGGGACAGTCTTGTTCTCAGTCTTGGCACCGTCTTGGTCTTAGTCTCAAATAAAACTTTAAACAAATAAATTATCAGAATAATTCTCTAATGAATTTTTTAATATAGGTATTATATTGAATCAGCATTTCTTCCTCTAAAATATTATGCAATAGGCAGGAATATACTATTTGTAATAAATCAAATCAATAATTTTGAACTATACATTATATTTTATATCATACAGGGTGAGTCTTAAATAAGTGAAAATATTTTAGGGGTAGTATATTTCGACCTAAGAGTCACGAATATGAAGTTTTATTGGCGAAAAATTTTTTTGAAAATTTGGAATTTTTTGAACATTTCTTTGGAATTTTTTTTATTTTTTAGCTAAAAATCATAATTTCTTGATAATATAGCAACATAGGTAATAAGTTTTCAAAAAAGTAAACCCAGAAAAGATCCAGCGGTTATCAAAATTTAAGCAAAAGATATTTTTTTGGAAATTTTCAAAATAAAATAACTC